TCCAATGAGCCGAAGGCTTCACTATTTTGCTCTTGTTGCATCTTCAGCAGTGGCTGGTAACACAGGTAAAGAGATCATTCTATTACAGCAATAAAAGCATAAACAAAGGTCTTTTCCTGTGCCAGCTGCCTGTCTGAATTGATGCTTTGTTGTCCCATCTGCAACAAATGACTTCATACAAGTGATTTATTTTGTCACAGTACCCTATAATTAAAAACTTGAGTAAGGTTAATTATGGGCTGCCTTCATGGTGGTAAGGAAAGGGAAGCTATGCTAAGCTTAGGCTGAGCTATGACTGTAAGCTATTTATAGTTATTTTATCTTACTGTCATAATAGCAATTAGTTGTCAGTCTGCTTCTTCAGCCCTTCCACTTCATGTATTTCAAACGCCTAAGTAAAATTCACTTAAACTCCCAAACAACCCACCAAAGCAAAACAACTATTATTGGGAGCTTAGAGAAGGAAGGAAAGATTTGTATTAAATACTACCTTCCTGCTAAATTTAAATACATGATGAAAATCTAATTTATAAAATGTCATATATGGCAAAAAGAAAAAGTATAAAAGTTTATCTGGAAATCAGAGTTATATTATCCTACGTTAAAGTTAAAAAATGGAACATAAGCTCCTTGAGGACTGCGACCATGTCTTGGCCGTCGTGTCTCCAGCATGCCCAGTATGTGATGAGTGCATAGGAGATACTGAATGAATATACTAATGAGCTGGTACAAGATGAGAGAGACCTAGCATAACAGCTTATTTCAGTGACTGTATTTTTTTTGTGTCTCATGGTTTGTTCTTGCTTTGTGGTCTCCACTCTTTATTTCTTTGGATATTTAAACATGTTTATTTCAAAGTATCTTTGATTATTCTGTTAGTTCTAATCCCATTTGTTATTCTGCTGACTCTCCCCTTGTTGTGATTTGTAATGTTTTTTTCATTTTATAATTTATTTTATCATGCTTTAGGTGAAAGTTTATAGTGCAAATTAGTTTCTCATTCAAAAATTTATGCACAGATTGTTCTGTGACTTTGCTTGCATTCCCCACAATGTGTCGGCACTCCCCCTTTCCCTTTCCACCCCGGGTTCTCTGTGTCCGTTCGTCCGGTTTTCCTGTCACTTCTTGTCTTTGCTTTTGGGCAGGTGTTGCCCATTTGGTCTCATATACTCGATTGAACTAAAAAGAACGTTCCTCACGTGTGTTATTGTTTGTATTATAGGCCTGTCTAAACTTTGGCTGAAAGGTGGACTTTCAGGAGTGGCTTCAGTTGTGAATTAGCAGGGTATCCAGGTGTCTGGGGGCCATAGTTTTAGGGGTTCCTCCAGTCTTTGTCATACCAGTAAGTCTGGTTGTTTTTTATGAATTTGAATTTTGTTCTACATTTTTCTACCATTCAATCCGGGACCCTCTATTGTGATCCCTGTCAGAAAGGTTAGTGGTGGTAACCGGGCACCACCTAGTTCTGGGCTCAGGCTGGGTGGAGGCTGTGGTTCATGTGGTCCATTAGTCCTTTGGACTAATATTTGTGGTTTGCAATTTTTGACTGTGAGTTTATCTTTAGTGAGAGTTATTTTCTGTGGGAGTCTGCTAAGTCCAAGTTTGTTGTTGAAGAGTCCTTACAGAGTGTGATTTCCAGTTTGCCCTGTTAAGCTCTACAGATTTTATCAGTTCTGGACAAGTTTTTATTTTATATTTCTTAAGCTGAAGTTTCCATACTTCATAGTAGTGTTAGTTGGAACCTCCCAAATATCTGCATTGGCACAGTTTTGGGTTCTAATTTCTCATAGATGATTTTATCCACCCATGACTCCAGCAGATAGTGCACTTTCTTGCTCCTTTTCTTAGACCAGCATGTAGAATTTTTTCTAGTGTCCGTTTCAAAGAGATCTTCCTTCATGTTCCTGGCCAGCTTCCTACATGCACAGGCCTAAGGCATCGTCTCCCTTTACTTTCTTTGGCATTAAGACCCCAGCCCCAGTGGGTAAGGGCCATGTCCAGGGGCCTTATCTGATTCCCTTGTGAGCCTCTGTGCCCGTCCTTTCCTTCTTTATTTCTAGCACCTGGGGATTTTGCTTTGTTGCTCTTGCACTCTGCTTTGTATTATTAAATTTTTTTTTTGTCCAGCATTTCCATGTGTTGGGCGCAGGATCTCTGGCAGC